CCCATTCCCGGCAAAATTTCACTAAAAATTGACTTTTTTTAGAAAATGTGCATTTGCATTACTTCAATTATTATAAATCATGGAAAAATATTGGCATGAATTTTAGTTTTACGCAAAAGAATAAAAAAAATGAGAAATACAGACTATTTTTCATAAAATATTACCATTTTCTCGACGAATTCATCGTTACTCGGCAAATTCAGAGGTTGTAGATCGCATCCACTAGAATACTCTCGCTTTTATGTATACTTTATACAGTCAATAAAGTGCGCCCTCTCTAATGAGATTAATTTTTGTACTTCGCATCTCGCACAATGCGGTCGTTCGGTTAGGCTGAGATATGTTTGTTTAAGTGTCAAAATCTCAGTCAGAATCAGTTTTTTAACAAATTTGAAATAATTCTTGTGAAATATTATATTCACAAGTGTCAATACTAGCAACGGAAAATATCATGTCGGCCATTTTTATGTGTGATAACAGAACCTAAATTGAGGTAAGGTTAGGCCTAGCCTAGCAGCATCGGATAGGCTAATGTTTTCGGCGCCTACGATATTTCTTCTCACGACCTATCGCAAAATCAACATGAAAAATTCATCCACATTTATTTTTTGTGTGGAACACAAAAAATCAAATTTCAGTCTTATTTTACATTTTTTTCATTCTTAGGAATGTCTAAATTCATTTAAACTAGCAATTCCGTATTATATTTATAAATCTTTATAACATTATACAAAAATTAGATTTTTCTTAAAAACTGAAATTTTGCCGGGAATGGGGGCTTTAATTATTAAAGTAATTAAAACCCCATTCACTTTAAAGTGATGGAGATAATGTGGATATACAATCCAAATCTTGTAAAACTGGAGATAAACATTGACGGCCAGGTTTAGGGGACGATCAATTAATTATTTTCCATCTTAGTTATTATACAGTGCTTGTCCTTCGTTGACAGGTAAGCAATCTAATTTATTTTGCAATACATGAAATGAGGATGTGCCAGGCTGCAAAATATTAGGCCTAAAAATCCATCGCCGCATTTCGAAAATATGACTTTGATATATAACACAAGTTTTACAATTCTGTGCATTTTATTTTTCTATAGGTTTTTTCGTGCAATTTTAATTAATTTTTGTACCCTCCGTAAATATAATACATTTGAAATTAGTATTAAGCCCCTCTCCCACCTAGGTATATTTCACCTAAGAGTCGTACGATTTCTACGAGTTCAAACTCTTTGGAACTCTGATCTTTGGAAAGGACCTATGCAAGCTTATTATGTGTTAGCTACGAGTGAGGTACGACTTTATGGAGTTGGTTACGAGTTATGTACGAATTATGCCGAGCAGAGGACCGAGTTAACTACGAGATTATTACGAGCGTAACAAGTTTGTACCGAATTAGATACGAGTTAGGTACGAGCCAACTCGGTGCACTCGTACTTACTCGTACTTGTTTTTTGGTGCTCGCATCAAACTCGTAGATGACAAAACCACTGACGAGTATCCAGAGTAGTGTACGAGCTAGGTAGGAGTACCCCGAGTACTCTACGAGCTACCTACGAGTTCTTCGAGTTTACTACGAGTTATCTACTCGTGGCGATAATTTTGAACATGTTCAAAATTAGCGCCACGAGTTCAGAGCTGCTACGAGTAGGTAAGAGTCTTCTCCGAGCTTTCCGAATCGTCCTACGAGTTTTTGCCGAGTTAGCAACTCGGCATTCTCTTGTAACTCGTATGCTGAAAAAACCCCTAGTGGGAGAGGGGCTTTAGAATTAAGATCTGCAAACACGTACAAATGTAGGATACGATCGCCCAGATGTACTTACTGATTATGGATAGGTCTTGATATGCATATCAGATGTTAACAAAAAATTTACAGCCATGGTTACTGTTACAGCACGCACGCGAAAATGGTACGCGGTGAACACCCTGCGCGGCGCTATTTATAAGATCTTTGGTAACATTGCCTTCAGTAGCATCACGCTGCTGAATTGGTAAAATCATACATAATGGCCTATAAAAACAATTGCCAAAAAACTATTTTAAAGTTATTCTATTAATAATCCTCTCAAAGCCTCTCAAAAATCCCCTTTAGAAAAAAAAAAATCATCTTCCTAGTTCCCTCTTAAACTGAATACACAGCGCTACAGTTCCATCACCAAAATAGCGGTTTAGTAAACACTCTGTTGCTATTGGCATGGCCAGCGGAACCGGGGGGGGGGGGGCAAAAAATAATGTCGGGAGATTTTTTGTGTGACCGGAAAAAAAATTCTAGACCTACCTTTTCAGGACCCGTGAGCTGAATTTTTTTTTCTTTTTATGTTACAATCAGAAAATTAGAATTTTGAAGAACATAAAAGTCATTAAAACTCTTCAAATGTCGGGAAAGCTCATTCCCGCTATCTACGAATTCATTTTTGAGATTTATTGATTCATTGAAAAAAAAAATATGCATGCAACTACTCATTTATTTATGTTGGTCTATGTATACACACATAAAATAAAAAATGAGAAAAATTTACCTGACCATTTTCAAGAGGGGAAAACCTTGAATTTTGAAGAACTTAAAAAGTAATTTAAAAGACATTTCAGAAGTCAGGGTAGGTCATTTCCCGCATTCTAGAAATCAAAATTTTCCCGGGGGAACCCAGACCCCGGACCCCTTTTTTCTTTGGGGTTCAGTGGTTCTATTGAATCATTTTCAAGAGAGGGAAAACCTTGATTTTTGAAGAAATTAGAGGTAATTAAAAGACACCTCAGAAGTTGGGAAAGCTCATTTCCCGCTTCTGGGAATCAAAATTTTCCTGGGGGGGAACCCCCGACCCCCTTTCTTTTCGGGATTTTGGGAAAAAATTACCTGACCATTTTCAAGAGAGGAAACCTTGAATTTTGAAGAACTTAAATTAAAATCGCTATAAGATACTTCAGAAGTAGGGAAAGCTCATTTCCCACCATTTAGAAATTAAAATTTTCCCGGAATAACCCGAACCTCCCTTTTCTCTTTGGGTTCATTGATTCATTATAATAATTTTCCAGAGGGGAAAACCTTGAATTTTGAAGAACTTAAAAGTAGTTAAAAGACATCTCAGAAGTCGGGAAAGCTCATTTCACGCATTCTAGGAATCAAAATTTTCCCGGGGAAAAATCGTATGCAACTACTCATTTTTTGTTTATGTATGTATACACACATAAGGCCTATCTACTGTAATAACAATGCGATAAATTTACCTGACTGTTTTCAAGAGGAGAAAACCTTGAATTTTAAAGAACTTAAAAGTAATTAAAAAACACCTCAGAAGTCGGGAAAACTCATTTCCCGCCTTCTAGGAATCAAAATATTCACGGGGGAGAACCCCCGGACCCCCTTTTTTTTGGGATTTATGAATTAATGGGGAAAAAAAATTGTATGCAACTCAATTTTTTTATGTATGTATACACACATAAGGCCTATCTACTGTAATAACAGGGATACATTTACCTGACTTCTAGGAATCAAAATATTCACGGGGGAGAACCCCCTGACCCCCCTTTCTTTTTGGGATTTATGGATTAATGAGAAAAAAATTGTATGCAACTACTCAATTTTGTTTATGTATGTCACACATAAGGCCTATCTACTGTAATAACAATGCGATAAATTTACCTGACCGTTTTCAAGAGGGGAAAACCTTGAATTTTAAAGAACTTAAAGGACACCTCAGAAGTCAGGAAAACTCATTTTCCGCATTCTAGGAATCAAAATTTTCCCTGAGGAGAATTCCTGGACCCCCCTTTCTTTTTCGGATTTATGGATTCATGCAAAAAAATTGTATGCAACTACTCAATTTTGGTCTATGTATGTATACACACATAAGGCCTATCTACTGTAATAACAATATGATAAATTTACCTGACTGTTTTGAAGAGGAGAAAACCTTCAATTTTAAAGAACTTAAAAGTAATTAAAAGACACTTCAGAAGTCGGGAAAACTCATTTCCTGCCTTCTAGGAATCTAAATATTCACGGGGGAGAACACCCGGACCTCCCTTTCTTTTTCGGATTTATGGATTCATGGAAAAAAATCGTATGCAACTACTCAATTTTTGTTTATGTATGTATACACACATAAGGCCTATCTACTGTAATAACAGGGATACATTTACCTGACTGTTTTCAAGAGGGGAAAACCTTGAATTTTGAAGAACTTAAAAATAATTAAAAGACACCTCAGAAGTCGGGAAAACTCATTTTCCGCCTTCTAGATATCAAAATTTTCCCGGGGGATGACCCCCCCCTTTTCTTTGGAGCTTATTGATTAATTAAAAAAAGAATACGTATGCAACTTGCAACTACTAATTTTTATTTTTATGTAGGCCTATGTATACACACATAAGGCCTATTTTCTGTAATAACAATGGGAAAAAATTACTTGACCATTTTCAAGAGGGAAAAACCTTTAAATATGAAGAACTTAAAAGTAATTAAGACACCTCAGAAGTATGAAAAACTCATTTCCCGCCATCTAGGATTCAAAATTTTTCCGGGGGAGAACCCCGGGATCCCCGCTCCTTTTCTTTGGAGCTTATCGATTCATTGAAAAAAGAATACATATGCAACAACAAATGATACACACATAACAGGCCTATTTACTATAATAAGAATGAGAAAGTTTACCTGACCGTTTTCAAGAGGGGGAAACCTTGAATTTTGAAGAACAAAGTCATTAGAAACCTAGCTCAAAAGTCGAGAAAGGTCATTTCCTGCCATCTAGAAATCGAACTTTTCCCGGGGGAGGACCTCCGGATCCCTTTCCTTTTTGGGAAAAATGTTGGCCCCCATCCACTAGGTTTTTCCAGATCTGCATGATTCATATTCCCATTCATCTTATAAGTGGGCCCCCCCACTTTGAAAAACGTTCCGCCGGCTCTGATTGGTATATTTTACAGTGAAAATGCTGAATAAATTTAAATAAATCTATTTGAGAGAATATCGTAAAGCAGCCGAAATTCTTCATTGTATACCTTCGCAATTATCTCCTAAAAAGCTGTCAGTCCAAAGACAAACATACTCTTCCTCACTTGCTTGACTTAAGAAACAGATTCCTCCATTAAGACATGGGTTTGGTGAACATTGATTGACAACTGCAATAAATAAAACAATTATAAAGGCTATTATCACCATCTTTTAAATAATGAATTACAAAGAAGAAAGTAAAATTCATTTTTCTTCAATTTCAGATACTAGTACTTTGTAGGAATTTGTTATGTATTTATATTTAAAATCATGGAATGATATTTTAATAATTGTGCGTTAACATGATAAAACATTCAAAAGCAAGATCATTTGGTATAGCCGTTTCAATTATCGTTTTTAACCAAAAGGTGGATGGCGACCCAAAAATAGGCCGCCGAATACAGTTCAGTAAGTATTGAAATGGTTACACCCAAAGAGAAATCCGTTCTTTGGACAATAAATAATTTTGAATCAATCGCCTGAATGAACACCAACTTAACATGGATCCTTTAAACTGAAAACAGAAATTGAATTTTAAATTATGTTAAAATTAAAATAATATATCGAAATCAATACAAAACTCTTTAAGAAATTTTTGAACTAATAATCTTGCTAAATGGTCCACTATATGGTAAATTGAACCTTGTCCGCACTTTAAAGTGATGTTACCTCTATTCAGCGTTCAACGCTTCGTGTATGAACCTTTCAGACGAGGCTTTTTGTTGACACTTAAAACATGTTTAAATCATGGAGGAAATATCCTCCAAGCTTAAATACAGTACACAGTGTCGTATATTATTATATTGGTTTTTCAGCAAGGGTTCATAATAAATAAATAAAAAATAAATAAAGTAAAATGTCTTAAAATTGAAAACAATAAAAAAAAATTAAATACCAAGAGGCGATTCGAACTCACAACCTTTGATTTTTCCCTTCGAACACATCACTAACCTACCGAGCCATCCATGTCGACATGGTAATGGCAGTAATGTACAGTCGTTGCTGAAACCCTTGTTTTGTTTTGTAGGTTTAGGGGGAATCCTAGGGTCAAACTTAAAAAATGGGCCATGAACGTTTGTGGAAATAACCTCTAGTTTATGTGTACAACATTTCCTACACGTCCGTTCAAAACTGGTGACGCTGGATGCTTTTACATTTATGGTAACAGCAAGAACAACAAGAAGAACAGCAGTGTGATGCTGGGGTCTGCCTTGAGCGGATCCTTGAGCGGACCCAGAAAGTGAATGTTGGGGTTGTGATCATTATTTTATTTATTCCGTTTAATGCTCTACACCTAAGTCTCAAAGTGCTCAAAGCGTAGAGTAACTTTCATCTCCCCTAAGGTCATTTACTATTTTAGTGTTCTATATTTTCCTCTAATACAGTGGTTTTCTTAGAAATACAATTATTAATTTTTATAGATTATGATGCTTAGAATGGCAGAACTTCAAAAGGTATTCGATCAATACACTAAGCTATAGTTCACCATCATCATGACAAATGTTAATAAACACAATGTTGCTATTGGTCTTAGCAACATTGGAAACAATCTGAAAAAAAAATCCATGTGAGTGAATGTCGAAAAATAACAGAAATTCTTCATTGTATACATTCACAATGAGTTCCTAAAAAGCCGTCAGTACAAAGACAAACACACTCTCCATCATTTTCATAATTTCTGTAATAAATTCCACTATTAAAACATGGGCTTGTTGAACATGGATTAACAACTGCAATAAAAATAATGCATGCAAAAGTTTAACACTTATAGAGGTTATTACTACGGTTTATCTAATGGAATAAAGAAATAAGAAACAAAAGCTCCTTTTCATTTAATTTCAAATACCTTTACTGTACGGGATCGGAAAAGAATATTGTGTTATATTTAAAAACATGGGATGATATTATAATAACTGATTGATCTTTGACACAAAATTTAGAAGCTGTATCGTCTGGCATAGCAGTTTCTATATACAGGTTGTTGACCTTGTGTTCACTAGTTTAAACCAGCACTTCCCAAAATGTTCAAGTTCTAGTTCATTTTTGGTCATATACAGTATTGAATACTTTTTTTTTTTCGGCTTCTCCCTTCAGGGGTCGCCACAGCAAACAAGTCGTCTCCACTTCGTCCTGTTCATCACATCCTCCGCATTCACACCTAGTTCCTTCATGTCCTCCCTTATCACGTCCATATACCTCCTCTTAGGTCTTCCTCTTTTTCTCCTACCTGGTAGCTCCATTTCCAACATCCTCCTTCCTATGTATTCCATGTCTCTTCTGCATACATGGCCATACCATTTCAGCCTCGCCTCTCTCAACTTGTCCCCAAATTACATGAGCAGATCTTCTAATGAAATCATTTCTGATCTTATCCTTTCTTGTTACACCAAGAGAGAAGCGTAGCATCTTCAATTTTGCAACCTCCATCTCCTCCTCTTGTCTTTTGGTTAGGGCCACTGTCTCCAAACCATACGCCATAGCTGGTCTTACCACTGTTTTGTAGATTTTCCCCTTCATTTTCTCCGACACCCTTCTATCACAGATTACACCAGTTACTCTTCGCCACCCATTCCAGCCTGCCTGCACTCGCTTCTTTACCTCCTTGTAACACCCGCCATTGTTCTGAACAGTTGATCCCAAGTACTTAAACTCCTCATCTGTTAATCTATCCATCACAACTAAAAACAAGAGAGGGCTCAGTGTCAAGCCTTGGTGTAAACCCACCTCAACTGAAAAACCCTCCGTTGTTCCTATGGCACACACTACTGTGGTGCTACCTTGATACATGTCCTGAACAAACGTCACATATTTCTCTGCTACTCCTGACATTCTCATACAATACCACAGCTCCTCTCTTGGTACCCTATCATAAGCTCTTTCTAAGTCAACAAACACACAGTGCAGCTCCTTCCGACCTTCCCTATATTTTTCTATCAGCATTCTTAAGGCAAACGTTGCGTCGGTGCTTCTACCAGGCATAAAGCCAAATTGTTGATTGCAAATTCTTACTGCTCTTCTGAGCCTGGCTTCCACTAATCTTTCCCACAGTTTCATACTATGACTGAGCAGTTTTATGCCTCTGTAGTTATTGCAGTCTTGTGCATCACCCTTGTTTTTAAAAACGGGCACAATAATGCTCTTTCTCCACTCATCAGGCATTTTCCCACTGTCCAAGATTTTATTAAACAGATTTGCCAGAAGCTTTACTGCAAACTCTCCCAAACACTTCCATGCCTCTACCGGTATATCATCAGGACCAACAGCCTTTCCATTTTTCATCTTCTTCAAAGCTTCTCTCACTTCATACTCGCTAATTTGTGGTATATCTTGATCTACTTCATCTACCTCTTCCACCCGTAGCTCCCATTCGTTTTCCTCATTCATCAACCTTTCAAAGTATTCCTTCCATCTTTTCAGTACACTCACCTGGTCTGTCAACACATTTCCATTTACATTCTTAATAGTCCGTACTTGTTGCACATCCTTTCCAGCACGGTCCCTTTGTTTTGCAAGTCGGTACAAGTCCTTCTCTCCTTCCTTTGTATTTAACCGTTCATACAACTCCTCGTATGCATTTTTCTTTGCTTTTGCTACCGCTCTTTTTGTCTCGCGTCTTGCTTCCTTATATATCCTTTTCCTTTCCTCATCCCTTAGACAATCCCAGTTCATTTTCGCCAGCGTCTTCCTTTTTATGCTGTCCTGTACTTCAACATTCCACCACCAGGTCTCCTTGTCTTTCTTCCTCTGTCCAAAGGATACACCTAGCACTATGCTAGCTGCACTCCTTACCACGTTTGTGACAGTTTTCCAATTTTCTACATCATCAATTCCATCGAGTGCCTCTTTTACTTTGCCCAAAAAATTTGTGGCACATTCATTTTCTTTCAACCTCCACCATTTGATCCTAGGTTGATCCCGCATTTGCTTACGTACTTTAGCTATTAGTGTCATGCTACAAACCACTATTCGGTGTTGTTTAACAACACTCTCCCCTGGGATCACTTTGCAGTCTCTAATCTCCTTTTAAGTTATACCTTCTGTATAGATGTAATCCACTTGTGTTGACCTCCCTCCACTCTTATATGTCACCCTGTGCTCCATTTTCTTTTAAAAAAATGTATTTACCACAGCGAAATCCATCCGTTTTGAAAAATCCACTATCATCTGCCTTTCTTCATTTCTGTCCTTCACCCCATGTCTACCCATCACCTCTTCGTCCCCTCTGTTCCCTTGTCCAACATGGCCATTGAAATCTGCACCAATCGCCACTCTTTCTTCCATAGGTATACTTTCCAACAATATATCTATTTCAGTCCAGAAATCTTCTTTCACTTGCCTCTCGCACCCCACCTGGGGGGCGTATGCACTGATTACATTTATCAGCACCCCTTATACATTATTGAATACAATACACGAAATCAGCTTTCCCGGTACACTAATAAACTAAAATATAAGATATAAATAAGATATTGCACAGAATAACACACACTGAGAATATAAAATTTTAAATAGAGCAAACAAATAAAATTATCAAAGAAATCAATCATCTAACATCTTTGCACAAGGAATGAATGAGTTGTGTGTCTATTTGTTTTTATGTCAATGAAGTAACAATTCTACCACAGTTGCTAAAACTGATATAATTTTGAAGTGGGTGGTTATTATCATTGATTATATTATACATTTTTATTTTTTGTTTTCCCACTCTATGCATATATCTACTTTGTTTGGCTAGATGACAATATGCACGTCCGCAAAAGCTAAGGAATCGTTCTCTCTCGGCATAAAAAATGGAAAAGTCACTGATACTGTACATCATGTTGCAATTAAACCTGGCTGCGAACAGGCGGTGGCAAGGACAATCTTCAAGCTGACTGAAAATTTTTAATTTATTTGATGTTGTTGCAGCAGTGTTGGGAAGTAGGTCAGCGTTGTAGTCTTTGCGGACATGACTTGAAGCATTAAGAATATTAAAAATCATATTTTTTTTGCTTATTTTCATGGCTTTTTTTCCAAATACAAGTTCACCTCATTAATAACGATTGGTTCTTAGTTTTTGACAAAGGTAATATCTATGCACTGTACATACAATGAAAGTGTTTCTTAATGTACCGACGATGCGAAAATTTTCGCTTAAACAAGAATTTAGGTGGGGCCGAAATTTGGAATGGAACCTGAATTTTCATGACACTGGCTTCATGGTTTATAATTTACAAAATTTAATTATAGTAAACCTATGCACTATTATTGAAAACAAATAAGTTTACAAATGGATACTAAAATATGTAATCATAATTAATTAAATTAATTAAAATGATACAATGACTCACCTTGTGAGGAAGCAGAACTTACAAGAAGCATCAAAGTCATCATATACAAAAAATTCATTTTGTATAGATCAAAACCGATTTTCTTAGCAACTCAATAACTGAAAAAATCTATAATATAATTTATAAATGTAAATGTATGTTATTGAAATTAATACATGATACGATGATAATAATAGGTGCAAGTACAACAAAGTATTGAAATCATAAGTAAGGTAAACAGTCTTATTTTCTATATTATTATTACCTGATAAATTTGACAAATTTTGGTTTAATATTTTAATAGATGTTCAAAAATCAATAAAAATCAAATCCATTTTATTGCAATCAGACAAGATAAAATATCATCTTCACCAAATTGAAGTTTAACAATATTAAAACATCAATTATTATTAAAACATCAATAATCACTAAAACATCAATAGTTTAAACATCAAAAGACATAAAAGGAAAAAAAAAATTATATATAAAAAGCAATTCTTAAGAAGTTGTCACCGAGCGGCGCACCCGAATATTACCACTGATTAAAAATACCATGGTTGATAATAAATTTCTTGGATCTCTCTGTCTTTACCTTTGGGAAAGGAAACCGATTTGTTTTCCTGAGGTTATAGGTGATGGTACGTTCAGTTGGCAAGAGATGGTATAGTCTGTGAGAGAGAGAGACATTTAATTTTTCCAAAATATTTTTGGCATAATCGGGTGCGGCGTTCAGCGAGAACGGGGAGACCAGAGATTTCAAGGGCCCGATTATAACTAACCCCAGGGAGGCTGATGCGAATTGCTCTTCGTTGAATTTGTTCAAGGGCTTTGGACTGAGTACCAGATATGCAAGTGCCCCAAACAGGGAGAGCATACTCCAAAACAGGGCGAATAATACTGACGTAGAATTGGGCAAGTTCACTTACCCCCAGCCCTGCTCTACGTAGTTGTTTAAGAAAAAATAAGCGGGTAACTTAGTTTGGTTACTTTGGCAAACAAGTTCAATACTTCATGTTTCCATTAATTTTTTCTTCTAAATCTGTTGATGTTAGATATCAATTTACTTAATTTTAATGATATAATAGTTCTCTTCCTTAATGTATGTTTCATCATGGAGAAAATTTTTTTAAATAAAGCCGCTTCATTATGACAGCAAATGAGTTGCTTGCACACGCTGCTAAAGTGCCAGATGATGCGTGCTATTTGAGTTATAAGCGGTTTTCTCCCTTGGGAACTAGACACTATTGCCCCTTTCACACAGAAAATGCCGCAATAATACCCTAATCACACCGCAGTTATTGCCGACGCAGACCCTTTCACACAGCTAGTTAAAATCCGGTAATAATACCGTATCCTGTCTGAAAGGGTTCTCGCGGAAAGGAGTATTTGATGTCTGTGGCGCAGTGCTTGTTAACAAAGAGGGCGCAAGTTTTTGTTTACTCCATTACTCCAATATGGCCTGAGATGAAGTCATAAAACTGCTGCTTTGCAAATTTTTTTAATGCTTGCTATGCTTGCAATACATATAAATTGAGAAACAGAAGGTTTCTAATACGTTTCGTTTAAGTGAAGAAAGAATTTAGGAAGCGCTTAAGGCGAGGCCAGCTTGAATTTCGAGCAGCTAGGTGCTGGCGATTTTCGCGTCTAAAGAACCGTCAGCTAGTGATTTCATCGGCTTTGTTAGCTACAGCAGCGGTTGATGGCTGCTTGTGTGACCGTCTGATTTGTTATGCCTCAGTGGGTAAGACGGCGATGAACCCTGTACCCTTTCACATCGAGTTGGGCAAAACTTGCTACGGTATCAAGACTAGGTCCCGAAGAGGTCTAACTGAAGCCGGCGTTTAGGCGTATTTACCCTATCACATAGAACGCCGGCGTTCGACAAATACTGTATTAATACCATTTTGCAGGTCTCTCTGAAAGGGGTATATGTTATCATGTAGTATTAACCCTTAAGATTGAGTAAATCCAGTATGGAGGAATGATGGGATGAGTCATGAGCTAAAGATAAAAATAAATATATAAGACCTGTCCTGGAAAGATCACTTTCAATGCCCATGTACATACTTCATTAATATAATACCTGTATAGTAAGGTAGTCTTTCTAAGTTGTTGGAAGGAGAGGAAGTCATGACGTGTGTGGCTGAACCGTGTTTGGTTGACTCATGCTAGGAAAAAAAGACAATCAACAATTGTGTGTGTGTGTGTGGGGGGGGGGGGGGGGAGAACACAAATGTACGGCATTATTTATTTAATAAAATAATATTAAATTTGTATACAATGAAATTTTATCACCGAGAGAACAGATAATGATGTCAAAATATTGTATATACATGGAGGCTTCATGATCAAAAGTTCTTGCCAGTATTTGGTATGCTGGTACCTGGCGGGGCTGGGCTGCTGGGACGCGGTTTGGTGCCTGGAATTGTAAATAGGCTGTGAAGTAAAAAGTTTGCGGAACGCTGTACTAGTAGACCATTTAAACTTATCAAGAATGTTGTGAACGAATAATTTACAGTTATCATTTTGACATGGCTTACTCCTACGATACAAATATTATTGCACCTACAAAATAATTTAGACCTATTCTTGTCAATTTGCTACGTATTTAGGCACATTTCCATAAACTTTACAGTTTCTTGTAGTTTATCACTGGTCTGTTTATTTTGCATGCAGGTTACGATTAATGAATGCTTAACCAGGGGCTCAGGATACCTCCATGCACTGACTGTATCATGACGCTTGTTTATCAGAACCAGAGTATATCAATCTGATCCATCAATTACTGTCTCCCTGCTATTATGATTAATTTCATCATTTTCACTTCCATTTGTGCCCATTCTCTTTTTCATTTCGTAATATAAGTCTGAACATTCCAAGTGACAATCACTAAAATGAGAATTTTTACTTACTGGCAGCCTAGTCATCCCCACTTTCGACCCTGCCGAACTCAACTTTCAGTATTTCATTACCTTGATTTATGTTTAAGTCGCTGATTTTTTTATTTCACTCTTCAACTAATTAAATATCAAACTTTTATAAAAAAAAAAAAGGGGGGACTTTAAAGGGAAACCTAAATTTAAAATGAGGTGATTTCTCATCACCTTCCTCAACGTCGTAGGCCTAATAGCAGGTGTCAATCATGTTATCATTTTGACTTCTTTAGCTCGGCGATATGACTGCAGTTTGTTCATTATGTGTAGCACGCCCTTTGAGTTAATGCTTCAAGAGTACCCTTTATTTCAGAACCGTTGACTTACATATCTACTCTGCTGCCATTTCCTCATTAAATAATTTTATGATTATTCAATATCAGATATCATTATTTAATGAAATCTGACACACACTACATGCACACTTGTTACTTAAATTACCAATTTCGGTTAAGTTCAAACAATGGTAAAGTCTGCTCCATTTATTTATGTCTTCAGGGGTATAAACATGGCAAATCTTTTAATTTTTACAAACTTAAACCAGGTATGTAAATATCTATCAAGGTCACCAATAAGGAAATAAACTTCTTACTAGATTTGAACTAGTCACTGAGGACGAGTCAGGTGATCCGCTGCACTTTGACCCTCGAAGAAGTGTGCGCGGTGCAGATTGAATAATTTTTAAATGCTGAAAATGGCAATAAGTATACGCTAATTAATTTTTTTTAAAAAGAATTTGAAGCATTTTAAAAGATTTACGTATGCCCAGGTCATGATGCACATGCGCATGGTAATGTCACGAAATGTTCACTCATGATATGAGATATATGTATCAACTCTCATTGACAAACGCCTGTTGATGAGTAACTTATTATCATTCATAATATTTACCATATATAAAAATTCAGCTTTTTGAATTCAGGTGGCAATAAGATGACGTCACAATGTCCGATCAGCCATAATGATCTATAAAATCATATCTAAAACTCATGTGCTTTCACAATATGTAATAAAAATTGGGGGTCACCTTTCATTCTAAGGAGCTATAACTGAATAAAAATATTCATGATTTAAAGCATATAGAAAATTTGACGCACACGTATGCGCACGTTATGAGGCGCGCACAAAAAATTAAGGTACATAACATTCAACCTTGACCTGAAGTTTATGCTTACTAAATACGATTCAGAAATGACAACTGGTTAAGATGATTACGGGGTTAACAAATTTTTGAGGAGAGAAAGATGAGGGGGTCAGCAAAAACATTTATTTTGAACATGATAACGTCATCAAAATCTAAAAAGAACTCACATATATGAAAGATAATTGTCTAAGCTATAACATACTGAAAGTTGGAAGACGATCGACCAAGGATAAGCAAGATACGCTCAAATGCGTATTTTCAAAAAAAACGTCATCGGTATAATTCAGTTTTATTGAATTCAGATGGCAATATTATGATGACGTCACAATGTCCGATCAGTCATTATGATCTATAAAATCTTATCTACAACTCATGTGCTTTCAGAATATGTAATAAAAATTGGGGGTCACCTTTCATCCTATGGAGCTATAACTGATTAATTTTGATTTTATATGCTGATTTTAGCATATTTTCACTGTATATCAGCACAAAAGCTCGCAAACATCCCTATGTTTGATGCGCACGTACGACATTGCTATTGTCCATAAGATGACCGTAAAGAATGGAAATTTGTGAAAACAATGTCAGGAACCCAAAACATGTAAAAAAAACAAAATTTTTCCGTACCTGCTGCAAGCGTAAAAATGCGAGCGCATAGTGGAAAATTTAAGAAAATGTTGAAATGCTCAGAATGGCCTAAAACGTGCTCTAATTTAGTCAAAAAGTAATTTTGAGCATTTTGAAATTTTGATGCACGCGTTATGAACCGCATGCGTAAAATTAGGGTACATTACATCCAATTTAATGCCCACTTAATACGATTTCGAAATTGCAATTGGTTAGGCTGATATGATCGATGATGTAAAAACACAAATTTGTGTGTAGATGACGTCACGCATGACTGAGCACGTTGAAAACCTTACTGTGACTATTCCAGACCAAGTCAAATTGATCGATAAAACGACCGTGTTCGTAGCTCTTAGCAATTTTGAGATATCGTGCGAACAAAAAAGGGGAGAAATTAAAAAAAAAAAGATGAAGATGATGATGAT